AATCCTCGTTCTATTTGTGCGCCCTACAATACTATCAATTCTTAAATCCAATTCAAGCGAATACTGGGGGTGCACGTGAATTTCAACCTCCTCACACAATCCGCATTGCCATTCCTCCCCATCCATATATTTTACTTAAAACGTGATCACGGGAAACGTGCCTCATGGCAGTTCTTTTTTGCAGAGAGACCGCCAGAGCACGATAGGGTGGATAAATTAATGATTTATAGAGCAATAATTTATCCAATTATACACACTTATTCTGAGATTATTGAAAATGTGACGACATTCAGCGTCTTTGCCGTACAAATTCGCACCTCATCCTTTGCATATATTTTCAGCGATGGAGTGTTTTTTTTTGCTCCCTTTTTTTCTATCTTCGCAACCGAACTTTCTCTCAATCCTCTCTGTCAGATTGTTTTTCTCGCCAAAACTCTCACTTGCAGCCTTCCATCATTGTGTTGCCAAAATACTGCACATACGCCAATGAGTGGCAATTTTCCTGTGCTTTCTCGTAATTAAGTGGTGCACGATATGTTAAGAATGTCAATGAAGGATTTTCAATGGACCCACCGATAAGGTGAAACTTTGGCTTCCAGTGGAATGGATGGCAATTGAGATAGATCATTGCTCCCAGAGTCTATTAAACCCCATTTCATGTAGAACCACCCTTCGCAACTTTCCCCCAACCTTGGCGCTCTTTTAAGTGCACTGAAGCTCGTCTCATATCATCTTCAGCATTGAATATTATCTCCTTACTCCGTACATTATATTAGCAGAGGAGCGACACATTCCAATATGTGAGACGCCGATGTGGAAAATCTACCAAGGGCGGGAACGTGTGAGTGAGTGTGGAGAACTAAAACAGTTTAAACTTGTTTAAAGTTTGAGACTTGTTTCGCATTTCAGCTGTATTTAAATGTGATCTAACTTGACGTCTCATGAAATTTTCCACTTATTATGCTATATTAAATTTACATGCAATTCATATTTGCTATAGTGGAATGAGTATTGTAACTCTAGCGACAATGTTGGGGTTTGGATTAACGGAGAACACTTGCTTTATAAGAAAGAATCCAGAGCCATCTGTGGACAACTCGAAATGTGTCAGATTCTGTTGGAAGCAAACTAAATAAAAACTAATTTCAGTATCATTTAAAGGTTAAAAATTTTCTAAATGTCATCAAAATGTGCCTCAAGTTTCAGAGAAACAAAGTGCTCTCGGCTCAAATGATTGAATGTTCTTATTAGTCCCAAATTTCCACCCGGAACTTTGATACATTCCTAGCCTAGAGCCGACACTCTGCATCGGACAGCTCCACCTCCTGCTGGACACAATCCAGCAAGATAATAGCCGGAGTGCGAATGTCGAAAATCAACTTTCACCACGACGAGTGTATTTGCAATAATTTGTGTCTGGTGTGTTATTTAGTGATTGTGTTTCGGCAATTTCAGCAAGGGCCAATGTTCAATTGGGATGCTTCGGGTATGAGTGGTCCGAGTATCATCGCAACAGCAAACATCGCCTCTGATTTGGACGAGTAAATCTGCACCGCTTAAGGGCTCACCCGGGCAATGTTTCCAATGCCCGAACAGAAGTTCGGGAGGGACGGGATATTTTATACTTTGCACACAGACATTGTTCATTTTAACGAGCCGTTTTCATTTCATGCCAATGAATGCGTAATCTGACAGTTTGGGCTTTCACTATAATACTGGACCTCCGTGTGCCCCTCTGGCCATCATCGCTCGCAACAGAGCAGTGACTCACAGAGGAAAATCCTCGAGCAATACCCCGAAATATTACTCGGTTACAGTCAGTCAGGAGCAAAAAATCCACACTCTTCATCCTGATTCACTGAGGGATTTTTCCCGCACTGCACACATTCCTCTTGAAGGATAGACTTTCGCGAGCACACAGAACTCCCTGCAATTCCCCAATACGACCCAACATGAAGATGAATTTTTATTGATAAAGACATCAAATGGAAACCCTCAATGTCCAAATTGAATTAACTCCTGCAAAGGGACTCCCACACATCAATATTTTCCACACTTTTACGATGATACCTAAAGTGCCATAAAAAATTCACACGATGTGCCAATTGATGATAATTCCTTTCCTCAACAGCACCAATTATGCGTCCTCCCAAGTATGTCAAATTGCCCCGCCCACGATGATCCACGGACGTGGAGAATATGTGGAGCATAAAAACTAACTACGTGAAACCCTTTTTGCCATGTTCGCATCATCAATTATGTGGCGGGGGCTGGAAAAATGCGAAAAGCCTCAAATTTGGCATTACATAAAAAGCAATTTATGTTGATGTGGCGATGGTCAATTGAATTACCCCGCTCATTCTCTTGCCATGAATGATTGGGCAAGAGAGTCTCTCTGGCCAGGGAAAAAAGCCCGCACTCTTTGGGCGATATTTGGGAAATAAAATATGTTGTCGGTTGAACAGAGTGGCGTGTTTATTTTATTATCAACTCCCTGGGATCAGACCGCAAACCCGGGGTGGGCCAACCGGATGGAAGAGGGTGAAAAATGTAGTGTAAAATCATTCAATTACCCGTTCATTTTATATGGAAATTTCAGAACGTCATAAATCCGCAAGCGACTTGCAAGAACGGGGACAGAAGGGGATTTGAAAGTAGCGACAGTCTAAAAACAGCCTAAATTGTGGTAGTACTGAAGAAAATCGCATTTTCTTCATTCGAAAGAGCCTATATTAAGATCGCTAAATTGTCAAAGAACTCTTGTAAGATATTTATTTCTTAGTTTGTATCTTGAGTTTAGTGCAAGTGGCAAATCTGTTCCCTAAATACTTCACTAAGAGTCTTCTTCAGATAAAGGAGGGTAAACATAGCGTTCGCTTTCTGAAAGCTCTCAATTAGATATTTTTCCATCAACATCGCTAGTGCTGAGTTGCGGTTAAGAAAGGGGGTAAAAGTTTCCTTTGGTGAAGCACTTGAGCCGCGTATCTGCTATTGATGAAATTATAATTAGAAAATTTACATGAAATGGGTGAATAATTAATTTCTTGGACGAATTCCCGGCAGATTGTCGCCATGGGGAGACACAGAAAGCAGCCCCCTTTTGCTGATGTCTGACAGTGTGTGCCGAAGGTAGAATCTTCGAAAGCTTCCCTTGTGGAGAAAGGGGCGAAAATATAATCTGATATAGTCATATTTGAGTGTTTCTTGTGCAAACATCCTGTGCCAACACAAAACACATCTCAATTTGCAAATTTTCAGGCACTAATGCTTACTTTGTGCTCTGCGCCTTCCCGCCCAAGAGCATCCATGCTTCGCCCCAAAGAAATCCCAATCGTGATTTTCTCAAGTGGCATCTTCGAGAGTCTCAATTGGAAATGGGAGAGAGCGAGAGAAAAATCCCAGAGTCTGGAGAAGTATCTGTCAACAAAATCCCCAATTGAATTTATTTGCATTTGCCTTTCATAAATAAACAAGGAGAGGAAATTAATTATTAACCATTTCACTTACTCACGATCTCAGCGTCAATCCATCTCTTCGTGTGCCTGGCAACCGCAGACCCCACAGGCCCTCCATCACTGATCCTTGGGCTCAAGGGGTGGGCCGCGAGGGTGCAACCCTTCCCGCCGCCATTCAAGTGTGTGTGTGCCGAAAAATTCCCGCTGATTTCACTGTGTCTTCTAATCCAAAGCTCTCAAGAAAGATCACGCGCTTTGAACTTTTGAGCATCTTAAGAAGCATTTCCCATTAATGCAGAATGACAGTTGTCCTAATTCTCCCAAATCCCACGCTAACTCCTTGTCAATTCAGCTCCAGAGATGTAGAATGACATGCAACAAAATGCAGTGGGATTTTGCCTCCCAATTGATTTTCCATTGGAGCTTTCGCAGGTGATCGAAGAGCTTTAACTAGGCGAACAAGTTAAGTTACTTTGCCGGGTTGAAGTTACACATTTTGCATACAAATTTTCCCAACACTCATGGTGGTGAAATTGCGAGAACATCAATTCAAGTTTTCCCATTTAATGTTTGAGTGAGCAGAAAAAAGGCGGAGGCCACGAGCTGAAGGGAAAATCTGCATAATCCTTGATTGATCGAAGGGTGAGAGAGAGAGGGAGAGAGCAAAGAAGGGTGCCCACTAAAACCTTAAAAGAGCTCTTTTTCCTACCACCACTCGGTTTCTAACATGGAGATGGTTGTAAAGTAGCAAATTTTACTCCCATTAATTAGTCAGGCAGAACAAATTAGCGTCCGTCAATGTTTGGAAACTGCATTGTTCCATCCAATTTAAACTTTTCAGTGGCCGTCCGAGGAAAAAATGAATGATTTCCTGAGCTTCTTCTTATCTTGTGGGCTCTCTCGAGCTCTCCCCCAGCGCTCAGGCGAAGAGTAATGACTGTGTGTGGGGTTGTACTTGGAGAAAGTTTCTTGAGGAGCGCCATGGCAATTAGCTTGGCGAACACCATCTGCAAGAAGCGCAGCAAATTGTCAGCCTCAGTGCGATTTTCGTATAAATTAGTCGGGCAACCTGTTGGAAAATTGGCCATAGAATGCTTCACTAATTTGCCGTGCACAATTATTAAATGCCAACCCCTCTGATGCACCCTGTTGAGAGCCATTGAGGGAATAAAAACATCTCCACTTCAACGGTTCGCAACGCAAGGGAAGCCCGCTCTTCAACTCTTTTATTCCGTGTTGTGTGTATGAAAGATTATCTCGTACTTTTTGTGCCACCAGCAAATGTACGTGCACCACCGAGTTGATCTAGACATGCTATAGAGACGATAAGAGAGTGAGATTCAAGCTATGAGCTGAAATTTTGAGTAATACTCAAATCTTATTAGTCGAGTATCTTAGAAAATATTGTCGAAATCGTGCCCAATAACATACACTGCAATAAGCAATCTATACTCTCATCAACTCTGCTTCTCCTCGACCAAAACACGTTCATTTGGCGCTCTCTTGCTCGCTCAGTATTAATGTGTTTTCCTCCTTTTGTTGCAGGTTGTGCTTTTGTGAAGTTCAGCTCTCATCAGGAAGCACAAGCAGCCATCACAAATCTACACGGGAGTCAAACTATGCCGGTGAGTGGTTGTTCATCTTGTTTACCTGCCTTTTCCGTCCGCCTTCCTGCCCTAATTACTCCCCTTCGCGTCCGGGGCTTTTTTAATTAACAACCCCCGCCTGCACTTGTCTTTACTCTGGAATCCTCCGCATTCCACGGCAAATCGCCGTGAAATTGCTCATTGAATCCACGCCTTGGCAGGTGAGGAATTATCATATTGGGAGCTTTTTGATGAGAGACAGAGCGAAAAAATAGAATTTTAGAGGAAAGACAGTTAATTAGGGCAGCTGATGAATTAGTCGATGGGGAAGATCAAAAGGAATTTCATTCCAGACTCTGTTTGCTCAAAAAGTCACACAGAATTTGCAAGTGATGAAAATTCATGTATTCGCCCTCTATTATTGAGCTTTTCGCATTCGCTCTTGCATTTTTCATGATGCCTTCAATATGGAGAACTTTTTAATCATGCGTGGATATTTTATGCTCATCCTCAATTGTTTATTCTGTCATTTCATTTCAATTTCAAAAAATAAATAACCAAGTCATCGGGAAATGGGGTTTTCAGGTCAAAACAGAATCATTTATGAAAGCAGAACCTCAGGAGTTCTCGCTGTAGAATAAATTTACTGTCTTTAATTTTTTATCTATTGCGCACTTCCTCGCCCTATTTTTTTTTTAAATATTCCTTAAAGAAGAAAGACGCCAAGAGGGAAGCGATTATTAATTGTCGCTGTTGGGCGAGAGATATAACTGGAAAATGTGCCATTAAGAATTTACGGCCAGTGGATAATGTCGATTTTTCACAGTCCAATAGCTTTCCCAATTTTTCCATATTAGAGGAAGTGGGAAGGAAGAGACCCATCCACACCCCAAAATTCTTGGTGATTCTCTGTAACAGCGCACACTTGAGGAATTTAATCAGTGCGCCTCCCTTCAAATCCTCTCTCGGTCATAATTAAAGTCATTCCGAGGAGCATTTTAATGAGCAATTTTGTGTGTTTAAGGCGCGCACAATTTACGATATCCTTTATGTATTTTATTGCCAAACTTTTCATCCAATTTTCGATACTTTGTTAAATTTGTGCGGCGCGGGTAGACTTTTTTTTATTTCCGCTGCAAAATTGGATATTTTCCTTAGATGAGAAATCACATTTATTGCCTGGGCAATATTTCTATTCACGTGGCAATATATGATAATTTGAATTTTTAACGGTATGGGCAATGAAACATGCAATTACGATATTTTATAGGGGAAATTCTGTACTTCTTCCCCCATAAATTCTTCTGTGCGATTGCAATTTCTGTGTGACTTGTGATGGCGTCACAAGAGCCGGAGATCCTTCTGTGGACAGTTGTCAGATTGTCACTTTGCAAAACAAGCGTCCAGAGTGGGTGGTGTGGCTCGTTAGATGCCTCGCTCTCTAGCTTCGTGCGCGACAAATGATCACTCAAGCGCTCCGGGTGAGATTCATGAGGAAGTCTGGACGGCCATTCGAGACTCCGAGCAAAGATATATGGAAATGACTGTGGCATGAATTGCTCCGCACTCTATTTATCTCTCCATGGCACTGCCCACATTCCACCCCTCTGGACACAATCATTAGCCAGTGACTTACAGTTTCACGTGCAATGCAGAAAATGCTCTGCAAGGAAATCACACGGTGATTGTGATGCAAAGTGAATGGGACGAATTTATACCACTTCTCAATGCCATTCCAAGACACTCTGTTTGATGAGCTTCTGCAATAGAGACAATTTGTATTTTCATATACTTTATTCCAATCATTTTTCACACATTTTCATGAATTGTAGCTTTCTGGAGAAGTATGTGGACTTAGTTTAAGGTTTACTGTGACACTTTTCTCTTTAGATGAGTGCTTTTGTTGAGGAGCTCGAGTTCAAATCGATTAGATGTGCATAATAAGATTTTTTCTGCCCTTGTGCTTAGTTCTCAGCTCAATTTATTGCTTTATTAAGCAACGCGCAAACCATTGAATAATAATAATTATTATAATTATACGACTCTTCCAAAACATCCTCTTTAATATTCCCTAATTTCTCAAATTTAGACAGTCTCAATCACCCAAAACTATATGTATTCCTTAAAGACTAATAAGAACCCCTGTGGGTGTTGTTCCATGGAAAGGCACCCCAGTAATCGTCTCACAGTGGGATTCTGACTCAGGTATTTCACTGAATATCTGCGGAATGCCCTCCGCACTGGCCACAGATCAGAAACTCCAAGTGAACGTGCTCCAATGAGGCGCGACCCACCCATATTTCGGCCGCCTGTCGCCGTCTCTCTGTATTACGTGGCACAGGTGTGTCTTATGGTTCGATATGTGTGTATAGCACTCAATTTACTTTTATTATTTCGCCTCACCGTGGACGCTTTTTTGTGTGTGCGCCTCATGCCAAACTCTCGCGAAGCACACACCCTTATTGTGCGATTTCCACCTCCTCGGGCATGCCAGAAATACCAGCCATACACCAAAAATTACTATCACAGGGAGACAAAGTGGATTTTTTCCACAATATGTGCGTGCATTTTTCATACACTTTCCGCATAGCGCTGAGAGAGACTTTGTCAATTAATGTTTCATGATTGGCAAATGAGATTTTTGAAGTGTGCGCTGGAGAGACAAGAAAGCTTCGCCATGTCCTCAAAAGCTCCAACTGTTATTAAATCATTAGGAAATGGATGAGACACTCCTTGAGAACTATAAACAATTTAATTCCTCACCCATTCCTCTGCAGCTTCTCAATGGCAAACCACTTTGAAGATATGCTTGGGAAGCTTCAGCCAAGCGTGGCAAGTGGCGAGGAAGACGATGAAAAACAGTCTCTTTGCGGGAGAGAAAGAAGAAATTGTATTTGTATTGATTCAAATTTATGCAAATAAATTTTCCACTCCAGTGAAGGGCTCATGAATTATGTGCCAAAGGGGGTGGCATGTTGTCGTGGGGGTGGCGCAAAAAAACACGACAGAGTGAGCTTGAGGGATGAACGAGAGAAATATGGGTATGTTAATTTCAATTTAATAATTCAACAGCTCACGTATAGTGGAGTGTTACTACTGTCGACATAAATTATTGTAAATTTTTCGCAATTAATCACTAATTTATGTAATAAAACATGCGCGCTGTTGGTGATGGTAAAAGCTCTGCGGTACTCTCGATTTTCCATCTTTTTCGCATCACACTTGTTTTAGTGTGCTGTGAGGGAGTGAAAGTGAAAAACTTTCACCACTTCTCCTGAAGATTGGATGCGGAAAACGCGAAAATGATAAACAATATTTAGCAACAATAGCTGTCCACAGCAACACTTTTCCACTTCTTTTCGCCATCATCAATTTGAAGACGGTGAAATCAGCCAATTGTGAATGCTCAGACAATGAGGACTGTCGCATGCAGACCCATAAATCAATCGACGAAAATGTTAAAGCTCACAAGCCAATATATGTATACATATAATTCGAAGACAGAGGATAAAGCAATCTCTATGTGTCCATCCAACGTTGAATTTAAGGGGGAAACCTATGCAATGTGGAGTCAATTAAAGTTTCAGGGAAAAGTTTTAGAAAAAGATGAATAATAAGGTGCGAGGTTGCTTGTGGAACTCATGACACAATTTTGCTTTTAAAGAAATCCCCGTGAGAATCTTAAGTGACATTGAGACAACTTCTCCCTCAGCAAATCACCATTTGCAGATGATGGGAAGGTAATCAAGGGAATTGATGAGGTGATTGAGTTTATTGTTCTCAAGAGAAGACGGTTGATATAGATAATCTTCGTTGATACACTGTGATCTGAGCAAGACGATTCAGGAGGGGTGAAAAACACCCTATAAAGCTCTTCCAGAAGTCACCATAATTGTGCATCAAATGAAATAATTCGAGTCTTAAGATTTTTTGAGCGTGACTTTTGATTAGGTCTGTTTCTGATATGTTTGAATAGCACAGTAAATAGACTCCTTTCAACCTCTTTTCCCTGAAAATCTTTGTGGCTTTGCATTCAAATTACAAGTCTCCCCAAAAATACTCATCCAGCTTGACAAAGTCGATGAGAGGCTGTGATAAAACGAAAGTTTATAATTAAAATAGCAAATTGTGATTGAATTTCGGGGTGGTGATTAATTGTCGGTTTGGATGGGTGTTTGGAGATTGATTGTGAGGCGTGACACGAAATGAAATTTCTCTGTATGTACATTGATACAATTAGCAATTTATGGAATACATATATGGCGATGTGAGAGATCAATCTCGGTCGGGAGAAGTTTCTATTAGGGTTGAGCAATCAAGTTTATTTGTCCCTTAATCTCTAATTAGGGGCCACATTGTTCTGTGACGTGCAATTTGAAGATTGTTTGAAATTCAGCTAAAGGGACCCGGGGTAATTTCGTGTGATTAGAGGCATTTAATGCGAAATGTCTGATCCTACAGTGTTTGGCCCTCAATTTCGGCTCTCTCCGAAATTCATCACACACACGCGCGCGTCAGGAAGAATTCCAGTCATTCTGTCGCCTCCCCAACCGTGGTTCACCACTTTACATTGTTATTAGCCATAAAATATTCATCCTGAAGCGTTGTGGGGAAAAAATCTGCGTGGGTGCGTTCCAATTCACGAGATGAAACGGAGGAATTTACACACGAAATGGAAAAGTGTGTAAGGATTTCTTTCTCTCCTTTTCTCGGCAAACTCTCCGCATATTGAGCCAATTTAAATATAACACATTTTCAATGAATATTGTATAAGATGTTACACATAAACACCCATGAGATGTACATCTGATTCGAGTAGGGAAAAGGCACGGGATTTCGTGTGAACCAGACAAGGTGATACTCAAATGTGCCCAACAAGGAAGAAAGGTCATGACTTTACTATACTATTAAAAAAAACGTGTGCAATTCCCACTTAGGCATAATATGGTCTAAAAAATTTATTTTCGCTTTAATATCTCACAATGAAGACCTCAAAAAACTCATACTTAAACTGCGTCACTTGAGTACCTTCAATTTAC